TGTTTACTTCAATATATGGCGCGTATGTTTATCTAACAATCCTGAAAAATGGAAAGAAGCAACATGTACCTGTCCATCATTTATGAAAAACTTTGTTTGCAAGCACACGATTGGTATATTAATTAGATTAAAATATTGCAACCCTACACCTGAAGCAAAAAATGTGACAATCGGTACGAAAAGAAAAAGAGGCAGACCATCGAATGCAAAAAAAAGCTTTATTGATACAATGACGAATTATATATACTTCATTTTTCTTTTTTGTTATATTGTCAATTATAATTCAAAATAATGCACTTCTATCTTTTTTTGTTGCTCAAATATGAAATTAATATTGTTATATAATAAATTATTTATTGCTCATTTAATATCATAATATTGCTCATTTAATAGTATAATATTGCTCAAATAAACATTTTTTATTGCTCAAATAAATACAAGCCAATTTTATTTATAATCATGACTTTTGCTATGATCTGAATAGTTTGAATTCGAATTTTGATTGAGAATAAAATTGATAATGACTTTTTACTTATATCAAATATATAAATAATAAATCTAAAAATGGAAAGAACCTCTTCGATTTATCAAAAAATAATAATTCATTTAGGTTTCATAAGAATTAGAAGTCGCTGAATTTATATGTTCATCACAAATCTACCGATACTATCAAAAGCACGAGAGTCATATCATATATACTTGTATTAAATTAAGAAATAACCTATAACGTAACGAAGAAAACGTCATGATTACATTTTATTTCTGATACGTAAATAAAACTATAACCAGAGTTTTGCTTCTTTCTTCTTAAAACGTAACTATAAAAAACAAAAACACACCAATGGAATTTTATTGTCGATACCATCGTTTTTTCTTTTCGTTTCTCTTTTCATTCTTCATTGAACAGTAAGTGAAAATATGAAGTGAGAATATTTAAACAAAGAAATTTATCAAGACCTGTTTGTTTTTGCTTCGTGTTAATATCTCGCGTGTAATAAAACGATGAATTAGCACATAGATACATGCATCCCAGTGGATTCTTTGCATGAGTATTTATGACGAAAATTACTCTCCTGGTATTCTCATTGTTTTGGCTAAAAAGAAAATTATTTTAATTCCTATAATTTCGATCAACTCCACACAGCACGTGCTGAATAATATGTGTATAAGCAATAGAACGAAGGCATATTCAAACATCAAACTATAGACGACGACATTTACAATCACGTAGATAATGTAGTCACAGTTCTAGATGGCAAACACTTCAAACATCAGTTTTCAATTTTTCAAAAGTCATGAACAAGAGACTATATATTTGTTTTTAAAAGATATGAAATTAGTATCAACGCAAGAAATTCTAAATATGAGAAGATACTAGGAGATACCTACAAGTCATCGACAGCTTGGTGAAGATCAGAATATATGTTCTTTAGCAAAGAAAAGCAAGGACTTAAACTCATATACAGTATGGATTCTTAAGAAAATCTGAACCTTTAAATCAGAAAGAGCAACACTTTGTAGAAAACAAACAACATCTAGATTTGTAGCTATTGATACTTCATTAAAAAGTGAATTCCTGTTTAATTTTCGTCTGTATGAACACTCGAATGTCATGCGTCTCTTTTTTTTTGAAAAAGAACGAACAAAATAAATTGGTATTATTAGTTTGATTTTTCGTCCTACTGTTTGCAATCAACGTAGTCACGTGGTGAATAAAATAACAAACGAAAAAATAAATTCTACTTCCTACATATGTTGCTGTTACTTAAAATCTCGAATGAATCTCACTTTTATTTGAGATAAAATAGCGAGAGGTGGATAACATCCCGTAAAATCGTCAAAAGGTTCAATAACCAGCACAAATACTTTACCCCTAACAAAGTCAAGGAGAAATGGTTTATTTTGAACGTGAAATGAATAAGCCACATCACCGTATATCGTGTTGCATGGTGAAAAGTTGTTCTGATAGTCATATGTGGAATCTAACAGCTAATCTTATGCTGAGATTGTGGTTTTGTAAGTGAAAATGGAGGCGTTCTTTAGAAAAATCGTCGGTAAGTGCGGAATAATTGCGGAGGGTACGGGTGTCTTGAAGTGGAAAATATGCGGTTGGTGATTGTCATGATTGTAGCATTAGCTGTCAGTGGAGTAATACAGTTTTATGGAATAAGAAAATACTTTCATTTGCAGACTTTGTTATGCATATATTATGGTCACGAATGCTATTAAAAAAGCTTTCGTTTGGTTCAAGTTAAGGATGGTGTGTATTTTTTATTTCTTACATGTTGCGCTGTTTTATCCAGAGCTTGTGAAGAAATATTATTCAGTCCGAATTTTGTTTTCTTCGACAGAATGGAAATACTGGTATATATAGTAATATGGCAAAGGAAAAACGAGTTAAAACGGGGGTAAAGAATTTACATTTATTTATAGAAATGATAGAAAACAATATTGAAAGGCGTCTTTTCTTTATTTCTAGTCATAGGTATTGAATATCTCGATATATGTGTTTAGAACGGAAACATGTATATGTACATGTATATCTTTGATCGTCTTACATAAACAGAATGAAAAGAAAATAATTTTTGCCTGGGCGACATTTTTCTGCTTGAGATTTCTTAGATTAGCTAAGAGTTCTTGAATTCTAAATCGAAAAAAATCTATATATTAGAATTTATAATTCAATCATTATAAGAGAGATATGATGTGAGGTAAAATATAAACGAGAATAATGATTCGTTTAGTGAGATTTTTTTAAAATTTTATCATACGACAAGCGAGGGAACAAAAAAAATGACGGTAGTAATATATTCTATTTACTAATAGTAAAACAATTTTTAAGTGTAAAATTGATTTCATATTTCTTATCAATATTCTTGTATACCAACAGCTTCAAAAAATAAAATTTTATCGAACTGTAACTTATCTGTAGGCGTTTTTCTAGTTAGAAAATTTCAGAAGTATTTAAGAGTTACTTAAATGAAAGAAATTCTGCGTTTTCGCTTATTCAGGAGGGGTCGATAAGAAATTAAAGTTATCCTCGTCTAACTTTTCTTTACAAATATAAACCCTCATTATCCTTCAGATTCCTTTAATCCATTTAATTCTATTACTCCCCTTAGTCCCTTTAGTCCTTTTGCTCCCTTTCGTTCCTTTACTCCCTTTAGTCCTTCTACTATTTATATATATGTGCATATATATTCTTTTTTTTTCATTTCTACTTAAAACGTATGACTTTATGTGGGGTGGTCCATTTCTGCTGAAAATGTGAATGTGCCGATATAAACACTCGTTCTATCCTAATCAATGTACATAACGACTTTCTCCTCATTGACGTGTTCTTTCTCGTTCTCTAGGGTTGAGTGACGCACCTCGGAGAAAGAAAGTGTAACTATAAAAGGAGAAGGATGATTGGAATAAAACAGTTCGATATCACGATAAAACATCTCGTATCGTTACAACATTGTCACACTATCTGCAGAATATTGTTCACGAAGATACAGCAGTGTCACATATCCAACAAATTGGGCATGCCAGAGATGCTACGGGAGATGCGGGATACACAGTAGCAATACTCCCAGCAAATATAAATATCATAGTTATAAGGAACCCATCAGGCGCAATCTGTATCTGCCGCATCTCCCGATGAAAAAAATATTTTTTGATTTTTAGCCCTAGACCCCACCTGAAGATGCGTCTCCATAGCGAGAGGGTGAGTGTCGAAACATAGGTAGGCACACTAAATCATAGTCTTTCGTGGATAGAGTCACATAGGGAAAACACTAGACATACACTGGATCAGACACAAAAAGGTAAAACAGACAGACAGCTAACCACGCCAAAAAGGCATATCACTCAATGTTGGTGTGCGACCACGGTAGAGAAACACGAAAACACATTAACGCACTGCCACACCCATCGTAAGTGTGGGTGCCACGAAAGGCCGAATACCCCGTCTACACATGTATACAGCATACCTAATATGGGTCTCATGAAAGCTGGAAAACGACGGTGTACAGATACGGACGCATCTCTGTTACTCGAGTTATTACTCTAAGATGTGGATGTGGGTGCGTGGGTTGGTGTGCATGCATTCTAGTTGCGTTTAAGTAGGTGCGCCTGTTTTTACCTTTTAACCTGTCATTCGCTGTAAATTTAGTATTTCGTTTATGTGGCTATATCCATGGATGACTACGATTTAGCAAGCCGATAATTGTTTCAGCTCTCACCAGCACCGTTCGCTGCGTCCTATGATGAACTAATTTCTGGGCTCGCCTTCCCTGTGAGTTAAACACCATTGCTGGATGAACGCTTTCCACACTCGATTGTGACCCAAGGATGGATATTGGTCATAGCCTTCAAATCAGGAAAATGTTTTTCCTCAGTAGTTCCCCGAAGATGCGACGTCTCTGCGTGAGACACAGAATGCGCTTAAATAATTTTACATACGCATAGTATTTGTATTATCTGTTAGTTATAGTTTTGTATGTCGGCGTCTCCCTTGGCATCTCCAGCATTCCCGATATTTCGGATATGTGACACCTCTCATCTTAAAATTAATTAGACATCGTTTTGACCTGATTAGTTTCATATTCGCTTGGAATATACACATTTTCCTGTCTTCAGAAGTTGTAATAAAAAAACAAAAAAGATTTGAATGGAGCAGATGATTGAAATTTAAAATACACTCAGAGCAGCTATTGTCGAATCTATCGCTACGAGAACTCTATCAAGGTTTATGAGCGTGTTTCTATAGAACGACTTCGATTGAACATTTAATTATCTCAATGATTCAATATCTATTATCAGCTGTGAGCGAATACACTAGTGGCTAGCATTTGTTGATGACATCATTTTAATTATCTCGAATTTTGAAAACGACGAACTCCTTTCATTTTCGTTATTTTGGAACAACATTTGTGAGTGGACGGAATTTTGGATCGATGATCCGAACAATGATGTAACAAGTTCGATCTCGTTACTTTCATATCTAGTTTGAATGGATTTTCTATCATTTACGGTACTCTAGATCATCGCGTCGCTTAATGAGAACTTTTGTACTACAGCAAGTGTATAGTTCTTATTAGTCGAATCATTCGTTAAAGATATGACTTTTTTGGTTTTTATAAAATCAAAGAAAAGTAAAGAATGCATGCAAAAAGCTTAAGCAGTAAAACAAACGAAAATGGAAAGAATTTTCTCGTTCGTTGATTGCTCAGGGTCATATTTTCAATTGAAAATCGATGGATTTTCTACTTAAATGTCAATTTCTATTCCAACAAAAATCAATTATTCAGAACTTTCGACTCTTGATCAGAGAGTTAGGTATATTCAATATAAATGAGTAAACAGTCATAGGAACAGTTTCCTTGTGCACTATCTTGAGGTTGTGTGATGGGTTTTCGTTTTGATCGCATAAACAAAAATGAAAAAACTGCTCACGACCTGTCTCTAATGACTCAGTCAACTGCAAAATAGTATTTGGGTGGGTAAGCTCATATTCAAAGTACGTCTGTTCAACGATGTTGAAGAACACTTCAAATGGTGACCAAAGAGTTTTACAAGAAACTAGCAAAAAAAACAATCCAGAAACTAAAGTGAAACTGTTTAATGTGTTTCTCGAACTAAAAGAGGATCACGAAGAAGTTCAATGACTTGAAACAAATGCGCGTAAAACCGACTAGTGCGATGATATACTGGTATGTGGTGTATAAATACCAGTGCAATGGATGATGCGTTCTGAGTGGCCTTTCTATAGTACTATTTTACTATCACTATAAAACGATATCAATCCATCTAATGTTTAGGGTATATTGAGGAGTTATATTGACCATCAGAACATTTGTATAATATGTATATTTGAATAAGTTGAAGCTACATCAAAGACTAACAACGCGAACAGTTTCATAACATTGAAAATATTACAAATACGGCTAATCTTTAGTTAGTCAACTCGAACTAAAGTAAGTCATCAAATTTTCAATGAAATTCCAAGTTTATCATAGCTGATTGCTATTTAAACACTTTTTCTATCATTAGTTATAATAAGAAACCAATCGTTATGGGGATGACTCTTGTTTTAGCGAACAAAATATCAAAAGAACTAATTTTGACATTAGACAATATGCCATTGTCATCCGAAACATTGACCTATATTTTGCAATTGTGCTTTATAATAATGAAAGAGCAACTGTCAGATGTAATCTTCTGAATAGATTCATAAAACAAAGTATTAAAGGGAAAATGTTATTTCTCGCTTTGCATCTTTCCATGCAGAGCTCAGAAGGCGATGTTCCACCGGAGATTGAGTTTGTTATACGGAAAGTACATGTTCATCATTTCCGAGTTTTTAAACGTTAAACTTAAAGTAAAACATCTTCATATATTACTCTATCTAAGTATTATTAACTGGCTGGAAAATAGAAAATTCAGCTAAGTGTTCTATTCTGTGCGAACGAACAATCTAATAAATTGTCGAATAAATATTGTTCTTGTCTTGCTGCTATTATTGACACATTCATTGTTTCAGTATGAATGAAAAGCTGAAGCTCAGTTTGCTATTATCTTATTCGTTTTTATACTCATGAATAAATTTAAGTATCTTCTGTTTTTTGTTGTATTCAATTTGTATTTATGGTTTTCTTCATATATTAGAATAATATTTTTAGTTATAATAATTCCATTTCTAATATTCAATTAGTCTGCTAACAATATACCTAATTAAGACTCGCTGATCAAATCTATTAGTTCTTGCGTTTGTTTTGCTCGTTGCTGTAGGCCTTGTCTGACATTCAAAAATACCATTCTGCCAAATACAATCAGTATTCCATAAAGTGCGTAGTGATACATTTAACACACATCTACGTATGGCAGATACAACTGTAACAATGAAAATATATTTCGAGAGATGATTTAATCAATGAATGATTAGGTTAAATGATAAATATTTTGAATATGACAAGAAAACCATAGTATGCAGATTTAGAGATGAAATTCATAAGGATGAATGACAAAAAACAGATCAATACAAATTCGTAAGAAATATTAGGATAAGATGTAGTGGAGTGACATAGTTTATCGTTTATTTAGCAAGATTGCTTGATGATATTTTTCTATCGCCAAGAAAATCTATTATCTTTCGATAAATTGTTTTGTTGTCTTAACATGCACAAGGAAACTCGGCTGAAATGGCATTTCATACCTCCTGCTCGTGATACAGGAAGCGGTCGAAAGTTTATGGTTGCATTAATTTTCATCGGAAATACTATTAATACTAATCTTGCAAAGTCTAAAAAAATACATTCTGAGTTTATTTCAGCCAGAAAGGCTACGTCAAGAAAATAGCTGCATCACCTAAATCTATAGAAAATTTTTCATTCAAAATAGATTCAGTTTAATCATATTTTAAAAACGGTAGATTTCAACGTACAACAAAGCTAAGAGGAACACGGCCTATGTATGTATCTACACAATCGATGCCTTGATTCTATACATATATATCTTCGCTACTTTACTTCTTTAACTAAAACAGGTAGTTACTGGCATCGTTGCATCCATGAAAAATATCTAATATATTTTACTTTTATCTCTCAGTAGGTTATTCAGTTTACATTCGTATAATTGATTTATCGCTATTATCGCTATAAAAAGTTGCCATCACTTGACAGCCTGTTTATTCGAATATCCAAATGATGACGTATGCTTTCTTACGAGATAATATTCAGCATAGAGTAAGAGTGATAAAATGACGTCTAAATATATTTCTATCACATATTTTTATACGATACAGAAAATATGAGTATTATATAGTTTTGTTTTGTAATTGATTCGCGTCACAGAGTAAGATACAGTACAACGTCCGATAAGAGAAGAAAGTAAATAGTCAATATTCTTGTTTGATCGGTTGATTAGTCTTGCTAAGCATATGATGTACGATGTGAATTTTGTACAGGATAATAATTTGGATCCCGATCAACATACGTAGAGAAATCTGATTCTGGTCGTTCTATTCTCGGCTTTGTTTTTTGTTTTACTGGGAAATTAAAATGCTTCAAAAAGAGATAAGATACAAGTATATCTATTCCAAGACCCAATATAGCACAAGCGGTATTAATAGTCTCCCATACAATAAACAAAAGATTCCTTTTGCTTTATCTAATCGTTTACTAAACATCGAGTAATATCAATTGATGGCGTATCGATTTTTTTTGTAAATGAAATCAATGAAATAAAGAGGAGTGCCTTTAACTTGCGTGCTAAATTTTCTCATTAGACAACATCTCGTCATTGCTTCTGATTGAGAAACAACAACAACAACAACAAAAAACATGGCTCTTCAATCCTCTCGATACTTTTATCGAACGCTATCCTTCAATTATTTGAAACAGATGAATTTGGTTTTTTGGTAAAAACTTGCCCTATATCGATGTTTGTGAATTTGATATTAATTGTACTATGTCAAAATTCAACGAAGGAAAGAATATGATAGATGAAATTATCTATTCTGACTACAGAAGAACGACTGTCTAGTTTTATCATTATAGACTTGAACATATGTTAATGGTTTTCTTTTCTTTCGTTGAATTGAAGTACTTTTGTTGACAATCACTAAACATGAGATCAAATGAACGTTAATTTAAACTGTATCTCAACGCACTAACACATACATAGTTTATGTGCACAAGTGAACAACACGCAATCGGACGTGCTTTTGTCAATAGAACATACATACACAGATTATCTCATATTATAGAGTTTTTGTAGGCGAGTTGGATTGTAAAATGACTAAAGCCGATAAATGTCGGTTGTTCTTAGCCGCATATTTTATTTTCGTTCACTCGTTGTTCATCGCTGTTGTTCTGATCATCAACAACGAGTCAATATAGATTTACTTGATTTGAGTTTATATCACAATTGAACAAAATAATAGAAAAGTGATATTTTTATTTGCAAGCAAAACTAACAAATGTTTTATAGATATTTATCAGTTGGTCATATTATGTATTTTTTCTTAAATATTCAAAGTATGTTTTACAATGAAAAATTTAATCAATAGAGATATTTATTTTTAGAGATTATTACAGATACAAATGGATTTATTTGTCCTAAAGATGGTCGTTGGCCGCATCCAGCTGATTGTGAAAAGTAACCGATAACGATGTCAACAATAATTTATTTACTATCTTGTTTGTTTTTTGGTTAATAGATTTTATACTTGTAATGCAGGAATGGGTGTCGAGGCTTGGTAACTATATACCGAACTGTTTTCACTTCCTTTCGTCATACAAGGAAGAAGAAGAAGAAGAAAACAGCTGGAGAAAATAATCATAGCTGTTAAAAAGTCTAAATACAAATCTAATTCGAGTATTGACGGAAATGAAAACGGAAATAATATGAAACCATTCATTTTTTTCATTTCTTATTTAATCTTCAAAAAAACCAAACATTCTAGGTGTGGCAATGGTATGACATACGATAGTCAACATCAGCGTTGTGATTTATCAAGAAATATCGATTGTAATAATGGTGAAAGACCTAAACGTATACTATATTCAGAATGTATGTAACCATTTCTATACATTTATTAGTCATATTGAATAATTTATCAATTAAATAGTACAAACTGAAATTGTAACAGAACCTATTGTTATATCAACTACACCTAGCTTATCTCAAAATGGCATAGAACCAAACAAAAACGATAAGGCAACAATTGGATTAACAACTCTTCTATCAAATAAATTAGTTTATAGTAGAATGTTATCACCAATCTATGGTTTGATTGAACATAGCCCATGCCTGTTTCAAGGAAATAAACCCGATCAATATAATTGTCAATGTAAACGAAAGTTACATTAACAAAATAGAGACTAGTATATTTTTCTTTTGTTTAGCTTATTTTATATGTAAAGATGAAGTTGTAACACGTGTACAATGCCCTGATAAACATTTATTTGATGAATATCTTAATTCGTGTAATGATTATAGAAAGGTCTTCTGTGGAAATCGACCGATAGATATAGGCAGCAATGATCCATGTAAGATTTCCGTTTTTTTTAAATATTATTAACGTTTAATCAAATCGATTGATTAAGGTTCGGGTCAACCGAATGGTTGGTATGCTGATTATGGAAATCAATGTCGTTCATATTATTTATGTACAGAACAACGTAAAGCTAAAATGGATGAATGTCCTATTGGATCAAGATGGAATCCGCATGGACTTCGATGCGATGACCCAAGATATATTGCTACGCCTTGTAAAAATATAAATTTATTTTCTTTTTCTCTGAAGATTTTGCTTTTTTTCTAGGTGGATACCGGAGTAATAATAATGATGCCTCTTTATTAGGTAAATATTAATAATTGTATTTGTAAAAGAAGAAAATTTTTGTTTGTTTGTTTGTTTTGAAGGTCATCATCATCATTATTCGACTATATTCATGACTATTTCTTTTTTCTTGTTAAGAGTCTAACAAATTACTTTTTTTTTGTTTTGTTTTTTGCTTACATATTATAATAAAAAATGGTCTAATCTATTGGATAGTAACACATTGATCTCTTATGTGTTTGTGATCGATGATAGAGGCAAGGGCAGAGGGAGAGTAGAAAATAAAATAAAATATGGAGCACTATCACTAATCCATCTTTGCGTGCGTGCACAATTGTATATGTTCTTGCCATCTTGGATTTTTATGATGAAGAATGTGAGCTACTTGCTTCGTTTTGCATGCAATGCTATTTTCTAGCAAGACGAGCTTCATATCATATTTAAATGGACATGACGATGAGAGTGCATATAAAGATATGAGAGTAGGAAAACAGAAGAAGAAGAAGAAAGAGAAAAGAAAAAAAGATTAGCTTTTCTGGTTCGATTCCCTTGCAGCTATTGACATTCCCAAAGAGATATACAGGTGTAGATGTCATTATTTTTTCTTGTCGGATAAAAAAAAGGTAGGAATAATGTATTATGGCTAGACAATGTATTTTTTTTCTATTGACTTCACTAAGTAAAGAAGTAACGAACAGAAAACCAACACAATGCGAAGAATTATTTGGTTATTAACATTTTTTATTTTTTCGTATGGGAATTTTTTTCATTTAGTTTTTTTCTTCTTCTTCTTCTTTTCATTCTTTATTTTGATCGGTATCTCGATAGAAAAAAAAATGTATTTAAATGGCTCGTAATCAATAATTTCCCCCTTTTCTCTAGAGTAAAGAATGATGAAAAGTATATATATATATATGTGTGTGTGTATGCACGCATGATCCTGATCAAAATAAACGGAATACCTTTTCTTCATATTCATCATTCATATACGAGAAGTAAACTTCCCTTGTGTGAACGATGAATGGAAAAAAAAGCAATCACTCATTTATTTTAATCAGAGATAGAAAAACTTATTCAAGGTTTTTTTTTCTATTAAAATTTTTACAAAAGGGAAGTCTATCTATCTAAGTATCTATTTATAGATATTTGCCGTCTTAACAAGTTTTCCCGACTATTCTTTTCAACGTTTTTTATATTTCTACTCTCGTAGAAAACGTTCGATGGTGTCTCGATAGGAAAAAAAGATTTACATTGGCCTCTAACGACGAAATAACGAGAGGACAAGATGCAAGCATCATCGTTGAGTGTTAGTAGTAGCAGTAGTAGTAGTAGTAGTAGTAGTAGTAGTAGCGGTGGTGGTAGCTCGACTATTATTTGTCTCGTGTGGATTCATCAACGAGAAGAAGAAAAAGAAAAATAGGAAAGGACGAACGCGTAGCAGGAAAAAAAGGAAGAGAAATGAGTAATAAAGAATGGCAAGGAAAATGGTTGATTGTGGCAATGCTTGCATCTTTAAAAATCTTTCTCTCTTTCTATGAGTTAGAGAGTTCTACAAACGACGATGTGGTGACACTTTTGGCATGTGAACAACCAGCAAAAAAAAATCTAGAAAATAGAAAGAAAAAAACGAACCATCTAGGAACGATAGCACAAACATTTTTGACATTTACAACGATATACAATGAAGACCTTCCATCGCCATCATCAATTGTTCGATTACACACTGGTGAAACTCACACAAATTAGTAAAGAATAGAATCACGCCATTCATACACATCAAAAACATCTACCATAACATATGCGAGAAAACTAAGCAGCTGACAATACGGCTTCAACTCCATTCGATCGCGTGAGTCATAATATATTCGTCATATCGAAAGCAAGCAAAACTAGAATCGTATTAGAATTTTATTTTTCATCCTCATTCATAAGTAGATGGTCATCGCAACCTTTTCTTTCAGGTTCATATTCTCACGGGCGAGTATAGAAAAGATCGCATATGAAAACAACAGCCTTTCTCTACATTCGATAATGTTATCAATCGTTCAATTTACTTTCACATATACTTCTATTTGTTCTCATAATGTAGACACAAAAAAGATGACTTATTATAAATGATATATTTATAGACATAATTTTCTTTCTCTTCTTCGTTTTCCTCTCTCAGACGTCTAGATATGATTGGCATTTGAAGATTTATTTACGAAAATGAATCCAAACGACGACGATGACGATGGGGTCATTGTCGATTCATCAACGAAAAAACCCGATGAAGTTTCATTATCAAATAAAATAATTTTTATTGTTATTTGTGCATGTAATATGATTCAAAATGCAATTGTTGGCGGTTCTAATAATGCCATAATGACAACACTTGAATCAGGCTTTTATATGACATCGACAGAAACAGGTCTATTTCAATCTGTCTATGAACTTGTGGCAATATTTACTTATCCACTTGTCGGCTATTTTGGCGATCGAAGTAGAAGAAAAACACGATGGATAGCTATATCAATGGGTATATTGTCTTGTGGATTTCTTGTTATGTCCTTTCCACATCTACTTGAATCGAAACGTGGCAAGCCTCCGTTAGAACCACATGTTGCCGATCATCTAACGCTATGTAATCCAGAACGGAAAATAAATGTTTGTTCAATATCGAGTAATTTGAGATTTTTAAGTCATTTAAAATATGTCTTCTATTTATCCAATATAATTAATGCATGCGGATCGGCTGCTTTACCAACATTAGCTGTTACATTTATTGAAGATTTGTTTCCAGAAGAAAAAGCGCCTATTGCTCAAGGTTCGTTAGTTTCCCAAAAACAAAATTAGAATAACACATTTGAAAGTAACGAGTATGCAAATTGTTTTTAGGTATATATTATGCAGTTGGTGGAATTGGTATTGGGCTTGGATTTCTTGCTACATCACAATTTTTGAAAGTCTATACTTATATTAAAAAACCGCTTTGGTTAACACCGGTCTATTCTGAATGGGTTGGAGCCTGGTGGTTAGTTTATGCATTGGGTACTTGTATAAGCCTTATATTGTGTGTTACTCTTTGCCTATTCGATATTGGTCGCCGTCGCAAATATGTATCATCATCAGCACAAAAAGAAATACAATCAACATTAAATCAAACCTATCTATTATTATCAGCATCGCCAATGAATCGAAATGGTCCCACTGAAAATAACCATCGGATATCGTCACGTACAAGTTCATCAGAAACAAATTTAAGTTCAAGTCTTAATGTTATGTCCAACGAATTAAATGGTAAACAACAAACAACATCTCTAGATATAGTCGAAGAGAAATGTCTAACAGCAACAGCAACAACAACTACAACATTAAATGATTGTAAAGATTTTCTCTCTGATATTTATTCATTAATGAAACATTTACTTCTTAATTTACGTTACATGGGTATTACTTGTTGCGCCATTGTTGAAGCATTATTAATCAAAGGATATCTTGCCTTCTTAAGTAAACATATTGAATATCAATTTCGAACAACATCATCACATTCCAGTGTTTATATTGGAGTTATTTCATTATTTTCTGTACGTATATATATGCATATATATACATCAATATAGCTCTCAATACTGCTGTCCTTTATTCTAGGTTATTTTTGGTACCCCATTAGGAGCTTATTGTGTCAAAAGGTATGATATGAATGGACGCCAATGTGCAAAATTTTGTTGTATTATTCTCGCTATGTCATCTGTGATCTTTCTTGGATTATTACTTCATTGTCGAGAACCGACAATTGGTAAAAAAAACAATTATTTATTTCATCTTCCATTGATTACAATAAGGAAATAATTGCTTCTTAATTAAGGTACGTCCCATTCCATGCCTGTCATTTCAACTGCATTTGATGATGATTCATTTGATGAACTTACAGCAGAATCCGACCGCGTAGAAAGTCCATGCAAAAGGGATTGCAGTAAGAATAAGCGTTTAGAAAACATAATTGTCTTTAATTTTCTTTTCAAGAATGCGATATGAATATATATCAACCAGTATGCGATGTGGCAAATAGAGAGACTTATCAAAATCCATGTTTATTAGGATGCAAAACAATTCGAAAAGGAATATATGCGGATTGTTTATGTTTACCAAACAATAGTACGGTAAATGTTGGTAAGTTTTGAGTTGAAATCTACCTTAAAATTAACATTAACAAAAAAAAACGAACTTTCAGGTCGATGTACAGAACGTAAATGTGCAATGAATTTTCGAATTACATTATGTGGCGCGTTTATTGTTGTATTCATGTCTTGTTGTGTTATCGTACCGGCATTAAAATGTGTATTACATAGTGTTGAATTAACACATCGAGCGTTTTCACTTGGCTTTAAATCTACAATGACAAAAACATTTGGCTATTTACCAGGAACACTTCTATTTGGCATAATTATTGATCGAACATGTAAAACATGGATACGCGAAACCTGTGGACTTAAAGATCAATGTAAACATTATAATAACAAACGTATGGCAATATCATTAGCGCTACTTGGCTGTGGATTTCGAAGTTTATCGGCTCTATTTTGTGCCATATCGTGGTATGCATATATTAAAAAGCCAGATGTTGAAGAGAAAAAAAAATCCATTGAACAACATTCAGAAGTATTAGCCATCAATAGAACCCATCATGTTAATGTTTAGTTTTATTTTTGAATGAAAACAAAACAAGAAATTTATTTTTTATCTAGTCATCTAGACCTATCTACATCCGTTTGTGAATTTGTAACTATACTTGTTATGTTAATTGATCAAGATATATGTGCGTGCGTATTATTTCAATGGTTTTAGTTTTTGAGTTATCCAACAATAATAAATCAAGACAAGAAACAGTATAATCAAAAATATTTTGTGACGATAGATTTTTTTCTGAAGTTATCTATTCATTTGAATGATTTCATGTGAACTGTAATAGGCTAAGCGGATGTAATACATAACAAAAATCGTATTTATTATCATAAAGACTATTTTAGAGATTAATCGTATTAACTAATAATCGATCAAATCGTTAATACATTTTAATAATGAACATTTTATTTATATATGTGAGATTTTTGATAAATAAGAACAAAATAAAACCGTATGATTTGATTATTATCTATCGTCTTTGTCTGTTAATATTGAATTATTTTCTCTTGAACGATGAAGTTTGTTGAATAACATCAAGCAAATAGAGGGGAAGAAAACTTTTTCTGTCAGTAAATAAATAGAAGCTTGTGATTTTTGCAGTCTTATCTTACATAAGCTAACGACTATAGGCTCTAAAATCATCACTTATTAGTGTGACAGAAAACCAATCGAATATATGTAAATACATATATATATGCGCATATTTTTGTTTTCCTATTGTATTTAAGAGAAAATTGGTAATAGTGAATATATTTGATTTTGCGATTAGTAACAGCACACATGCTAACCAACGAAATAGGACTAAATGAGACAGTTTTGTACTAATCGAAAAAGACAAATCTTTCTAATTTAATACGAAGTTATACAGTATAGAAATATTATTTATATGACAGATGAGAATACATAAATTATCATTCGAGACTATAAAATTTCAGAGTTCGACGAAAGAAAAAATGTTCAAGACAACAACCTCTCGACGAAATAGATACTGACAATTATTAATATATATTTTGTCTGAAATTTCATTTGATTCATAAATGCATGATAGCAATTATCTTCTACAACAAGCTAACTATTCAATTAACCACTTTCAATCTCAGAGAAAGTACTGCCCCAATTTTTAGTCAAGGCATTAAGTGAGTTGTATATGATTCACTTCATCGTAGGCATATAAACACCCTGCAAAAAAAGCAGATATAACAAAATGAGTGTGTCGAATGACTTTTATTTGAACAAAAATCTACTCATAAATCCTGTTCTTCTTTTTGTTACTACTTGTTTCTTCTGTTCTTCTTAAAAGACAATAAATTACCAGCGTTGGTACATATTGAGATAAAATATCGACCTACACATGTTTTCATAGCAAATAAATAAAATCGATTTCGATAATCATTAGATTTTCGTTTTGTCATCATCATTTCGTATCTATTAAATGATGATAGGTCATTTTTGTTTCATTCTTTTAATTCCATGTGTACACATGGTTGACATCGTACAAGTACGTGTGTCCACTGATTCATCAAATAGTTGGATTGTTCATAATGGAAATGAAGGTTTCATTATTGATTGCGGTTGTTACTGGGAACATGGCATACTACTTGCTCAAAAATGGAACCAAAGCTTTCCCAATGGCGTGCTACCATCATTTATTTTTCTTACACATACACATCCAGATAATATTCTTGGTTATGTTAGTCTATTGAATGAGTTAAATACTACTCAATTACCAGTTTATGTTAGTGATTCTAGTGCGTTAACTGAAATTAACTATTGGCTAGAAGTTTGGCGTCGAGTAAATCCATTTGAAACATCAATGCTACTTGATAAGCGTCAATCGCCCGATCAATTTTCCTATAATGATCATATCAAAGTGCTTGATCGTCCCTTAACGATATTTAATGGTCAACCGTTACATATCATTTCAAATTTTCCTATTGCTGAATCGATTCATGCATCCATGCTCTATCTTCCTTCAGCTCGAGCTTTATTTACTGGTGATCTTGTTGTTATACGTAGTCATCTATTTCTATCACCATCGGATACTTATCCAGATTCTGATAATCATGCATGTAACTGGATAGGTATATTGCAAAGTCTTAGTTGTAATTTTCCGGATGCTACACGTATTTATCCAGGACATGGAGATGGCCCATCAATAATGTCATTTACTGATATCGTCGAAACCAATATTCGTTGGTTATCCTATATGAGATCACTCGTTTTTAATTCTTGTAATACAACGTATGTTATGCGGCTTTTAGAAGACGGTTTCCGTAATTATTCAAATGTGGAACAGTCGCGTGCGTCTCTTGCTAATCGTATTCCTTATTCAGCAATGGCTATGGGTTGTAAATGTTCACAAAATTCTCCGAATTCATGTGGCGGTCTGCAACCACCTGTATGTCAGTTTGTATCGAAAAATAGAACTACTCCATTAGGACCCGTAGCTTTGCCCATTGGTTGCATTCAAAACAAAATATCTTCGTCATTTCACCGTTTTGAAATTGAACATTCTGTTTTGTTCATTATATTTTTAACAAATATATTTTAAATACGATATAGTTCTTCTTATTATTTTCTTTTTCGTTTTTCTTGCTGCTCATGTTTCAATCGAGTACAATAAGAACGCGCTCAAATAAACAAAAAAAGCAAAAAGAAAACGATTTGATAAGTTTAAGCATCAGCTTCGCCTTCAGCTTCCTCTTGATTGATATTGAAGTATCGTAATTCGTAGGAGTCTTTGGCATTGGCGATAACACGTAACCAATCTCGAAGTTCATGTTTCTTCAAAAATTTCTTTGTTAAATATTTCATATATCTAAAACAAAATGAAGAATATGTCAAACATGTATAATATAAAAATCAAGCAGTTTACCGTTTTGAGAGTGGTACTTCAGATGCAATTGAAACTTTAGATTTCGATTTTTCAATATTAACATTACTTAAATTTGATGTTTTACCATTGATTTTCATTTTTTCAGCTAAAAATCGTTCCTAAACGAAAGAATATCATTGTTAGATGAATTTTGAAAAATGAGAAAATACATACGAATGCATTAAGATCGAAAATACCATCTTCAACTGGATGTGTACAATCGATATAGTATTTAATTGATTTCGATTTCTTTTTAGAACCAGATTTTCCACCTTTTGATGTTGTTGTTGGTTTTTTTGCAACTTTTGTTGATGTTTTAGCTAAAGTAGATTTAGCACTTGATGTTGGTGCTTTCTGTTTAGCTGGTGCCGGTGTTGTTACTGCTGGTGGTGGAGCACTAGCTGGAGCTGCTTTCTTGGCGGGTTCAGCCTTCTATTTATATTTTTTTTAAATCGAATAAAATCAAAAAATAGTAAATAATTGAAAATTTACCTCTACTTTTGGTGCAGCAGGTGTTGCTGCAGCTGTCTTTGTTTTAGCTGCGGAGGCTTTTTTCGTAGCCGATGTTTGAGCTGACGCTTTTTTGTCAGACATTTTGGAATCGATTGAAATAGAGATTAAAACGGATCTGAAGAAAATTAAAACAATATTAACACAAATGATTTGCCTTAAAAAAACAACGTGTTCAAATCAAATACATATTTATGCAACAGCACTGACAAGAGAAGATATCTATTCTTTTTCGTTTTGAATCAGTTTTGTTTGTTTCTTAATGGAAGTCCATATTTTCTATTGGTTTTTTTATAAATCCATGTGTTCCTTAATTGAAAAAGGTGTTATTTTAAAAGATTTTTGTTTCCTTAATTTAAGTAAAATATTTATTTTTTCATCTTTGATACTCGAAACTTTACATCTATTCTAGAATAGATGTCACTAGTCTCTGAATGTTGGTTACTAAGCAAAATGGATGATTTTTTTCTCTAAGATACCAAAGACTAGTCCTCAATTTTCAATATATATTTATTACATATATCAAAGAAATACTTTGAAAGAGCATAGTGATTATTAAGGAAACTTTTTGTTCCACATTCATTTAAGATCAATCTCAATAAAATACATTTGCCTGCTTGACCGTATTTATGTCCTGTTTCTGAACGGTCAAAGGAAGATCATTTCATATTCTTATAATAAAAAAGATTACGCGTCACATGTAGCCGATAATGAATGAATAATGGAAAAATGACCCTTTTTTTGACTTTTCAATGCATTTCAATGTATTCTTTAGGACAATTTTTTTAAATTTAAAAATTCACTATTTTCGTACAAGAAATATTGAAAAAATTATTTGACAAATAGATTTTTGATTCGCCACAGCTTTCTGTGTATCAAGCACTTTTCAATAAGTAAGAGTATTTTTCGAATCCCTTTTCCCGATAATGGAAATCTACACTATTGAAAACTTGACTCAAAATTTGATTATGTATATCAGAATACCCTTTTAGTTTCCAAAATAATTCCCCAGCAAGACGAAGAGTTTCCGAGTTTACTCAATCGCTAAAATGTGTACTGACGAACTGAAATCCGATCTCGAGTTTCTATTTGATACAACGAAACGCTACTAGAGTTTTGAATGCTTTTATGTAGAATATTCTGGAGAATGAAAGAGATCAGAGTCCACAAACCTCTCAAAAGAAGTTTTCACCCTTCGTCATTGCTCAGTTTCGGATGTAGCTAAGTGATAAGTTTTGAATTCAGTAATAAAAAGATTATTTATTCAATGTCTTTTGTTTTAGATTCTTATCGATATGATCAAAGTTAAAGGGTTAGATTAAGGGAATAGATGTACAGAACCACAGAGATACGATTATGGTGATTAAGACATCGATTTAGTAGGGTTCTATAGATCCTCTGTAGCCAGTGCCGAATATAAAGTTTTCAATGCATTATGATGCGTTGATAAATCATTGCATTGCAATGTCCATTATTTGGTAAAATCGGTTGCATCGGATATTTCCATTCGATGGCAATACAACACGAGGTTCCTTGTTATTTTGTTAGAATTTAAATGAATTTCATTTTACTTCTAGAATCGAATAGAAGCTAAATATCGGGCACTCATCGAATGCTTTACTGATGTCGCGGTTGATTCTCATCCCATTAACTTTTCGATTATGGAGCCTTGTAATATTGATCAAGGGGTAAACTAATTCTCTCGGCCGCTTATATCTTTTCTTCTTATTTTATTACAGGAGTACGATGCTTGGCTCATGCAGATCATCAGCATACACGAAGGAATAGGAAAAATTCAAATTACCGACAAAAATCATTTTTTAGGAAAAAATATTTCAGGCAACAAATAAATTTTCCCTTCTTATTTACTTACACTGGTATACCTTCATCATTCTAGATAGAAAAGATGCGTGAAGGTCTCTATCAATGCATCCGTTAAAGTAAGTTCATTTACGAATTTTTTTCCAACAGCTAATAACAAGTTTTTTAATTTCAGATATTTGTGTGGTGATATAGGGTAGTATCGTGATGCATGCTGATGAGAGACAGTAGCGATGTTATTTTTTATTATATGTTACGATGAAATGCTTCAAAAAAAAATAATAATGATTTGCCTTCACAACCACATACAATCAAATGCATTGAACATCTACTTATTTCTAGTCTTATATCTGTTATTCTAGATTTCTTAAGATAGATTAGGCATAACGAATTCCATTTAAACGAAGCAGTAATCTAAGCTACATCTTTTCGTGAGCAAATATTCAATATTATATCCTCTTTGTTTCATGAAGAATATTGTGTGTTACTAATATACTTGATGAGTCGAATTTTATTTGAGTAAATGAAAAATATAAAGAAGAAAAATCTTTAAAAAAAATAGATATCATCGGGTTAATCAAGAGAGTTTTATACAATCAGATCATAATTGATTAAGGTCCGCGTGGTACAAGAGTCGTACTTGAAATATACGAATGGCTGCGTGTCATACAATCTTTTGAATATGGCGTTTTATATGTTTGTTCATCACGTAGTACCATCATGTCGCTAAGAAATAAAAATCCGTCAATTATTCATCCGCTTTTAAATCGTTCGACACTAAACTTACTAGGGCATTTTTGGTTGGTAAGTTCGATAAATTTCATCAGCTTGATCAGATTTCGGTATACTAACATAATCCACCGGTGGTAAAGTATTAACACTACGCAGCGCATAAGAATCTGAATTTGATGCTAGCTAAAAAAAACGAAATATCAAGGACATAAATATTGACCTATCAAAATATTCATACTTCTTTGAAATGTTGTAAACCTTTATGATCATAACACGATGGATTTTCATTAGGAAAATGTTTTGGTACAAAGATATGTCGATCACGTGCTGCTTCGAAATGAGGATAATATGAATAATATCGAGGTAAACTAGTGCCTATTTAGAATAACTATATAGTTTTTCTACAAAAGATAAAAATATATCGAACCTTTTTTTGCATTACGCAATGATTGCATTGCATCAATACGATAGCTTTGTGAATAAGCATATTTTGGATCGTCTAAAAATTTTTGCGTATCATAACGAAGCCGAGGTAAATGCCCTTCGACACTATTTAGATATTCAAAAACAAAATACAAAAAAAGATTAGAACTATAAAAAGCTTCTTTATATATATATATATTTGTACCTGTAATAGCCATTACCAGGTAAAAGATAAGATCCTAAGTGTAAGATAAAAATGAATTGATGAGATGACGGAAATTATCATGAACTTACCATTAGGTAAACTACCAGGTAAAGTTGATACTGGATGATAATTAGCTTTACTATCGTAGACAGACATATTTTATGTAGTTAGAAAACTTGCTTTAAGGAAGAAATTCGATGTAGTATTTTTATTTTGTTTCGTCTTTGTTTAATGAAGTTTTACACTATGTACGTTTTATTATTATGCTTTGCAACAACAAATTTTTTCAAAACCAAAACAATTTGTTTTTAGTGTTTGTTTCACAACAATCAACCATCATGTGTATCACATCAATTACATTACCAAGACAATCTGTTGATTGCTATGAGCATGTCTATTATTAACAAAATAATGAATGTAATTAGTTTATTTTAACATTCATGAGCATTACACATTTTCAATTTATACTATATATATATATATATATGTGTGTACTGAGTCTTCATAGATGTCAGTCGTAAACATTACCAATACAGTGTAGTTCATTTATTTCTTCGTCTCTCTTCATATATCGATTGTGGTACGTTGCTCAATATCGATTAATATATCAACAGATGTTTTTATCTCTTATAAAAAATGATGTCATGATCTTCATATATTCTTGCTCCATTCGATCAATCTCTGGGTTTAATTACTTTCTTCTCTCATAGATAGATCAATAGAACATTATGTTAAGCTGTATGAAGAACAGTCAAACGTTTTCTCATATATCTGTTATGCTTGATTCTTCGGCATGTTTGCTAATCATCAGTGTAAAAACCAGTGTATGTTATTAAAGAAAAAAAAAGAGAAAGAAGTCATACAAACACACACCACACATTTTTAATCATCTATGTATATTTGACAGAAAAAATATTAATCATAAAGTCAATCATCTAAACTTGAAAAGAAAAAAAAAACGAAAAACGAAAAACAAAAGCCAAAAGCCAACATAGGATTGATTGCTAAAAAAGAAACACTGAATAACGATCAATATTTTTTTATTTTCCACATAGTGGTATTGAAGCCGAAAAAAAATAACATTGCAAAGTTTACACAAGCTGTACAAAGGAAACAGGATATCTTAAACCGATGTTTCATAAAGTGAGGATCGATCCGCATGAAGCTATAAAAATAATTCGTTAGATAATCAAAACATTTTGCGAGTCTTTATACATACATTTTCAGATATCGGTCGTTTTTTCATTATGCCATCGATTCGTTTAGTGGATGATGCTCTTGATGATCTAGACAAAAATAATATAAAACAGATATAAATCATGTTGTGATTGTTATTCAAAAATTTTCATTAGCAAAAAAATGAAATCTATAGAAGCCCTATAGCAAATGCCTATTTGACTTTGGCATGACTCCGTCGAAATAAATAATTGTCTACGACAGAAAGAAATTAATCACTATTTTAGCTTGAATAAACAATCCTATCGCTCTTTCTCTCTATGCATGCAGTCATATCGATACACGACTGCAATAGCGTGGTCCTGTATGCGAAGTTATATTGCTTCATTTATGAATATGTTTGTATGGCATATGCTGTTCGTCAAAAATACCGATTGTTTCTTATTAGGAATAAAAGATCCTCGACTCATTTGATTAAATACAGAATATTAAAAATATCCATATATTGACTATAGATGAATTCTATATCTAGATAAAAATATATAATGCAAGACAGTTTTTTCCTCTAGGGAACGAACCTGTTGAGATCTTGCTTATTTGTTATCTCTTGTCCTCTGGAAATTGGTGCTGGTAGTCGAATAGCTAGGCCATTTGTTGCTTCTTCAAAATATGTAGATGACGGCTTTCTGGGCTTGTGTCGGTTCAATGATGATGAATTTGATTGTTGCTTATTTTCATCGTTTGATGTTCGACTGTATCGTTTTGGAATTTCATCTGCTTTTGTTATTGTTGGAGGTCTCGATGATGTTATAGGTTCATTAGATACAGGTAATGAACCACAATAATGTCGACTACTTAATAATCGTGTTGCTGATGGCGATCTTGAGTCATTTGATGATGATGATGTTGCTAATAGATGTTGAATAGTTGTCAATGGTGAAGGCATTGCTTTGCTTAGTGAACTATATTCATTAGAGCCTTTTTGTCGTTGATGAGAACGCGGTTTAACAGGAGGTGGGGGACGTAAATGAGGTGGCTTAAGGTGTCGATCAGGTACAGGTGGAGGTGGAGATGGATATTCAAATTCATGTAAAAGATGAGGATGAACATGAGTGGTTGTGGTTGTTGTTGTTGTTGCGGTGGTGGTGGTAGCAGTTATTGGTGATGAACTAATTGTTCGTGAACACGGCGATATTGTTGTTGGTTCGGATTCATAGGCTTCATCAGTTGTTGATTGTAACGAGGAAACTTTCGATCTTAATGGGACAGACACTGGTGTTAGAAAGTCACTGCGAGTAAAAGAATATCCTGAATAACAGTCTGCTAATGATTCATATGGTGATTGATGATTTATTGAAACAGATGATATTAATGACTGTTGAGTATTAAACTGTTCGTGATGACTTGAATAGTCAAAAACACCGCATCCTTCATTAATGGGTTCTATTAAATATTGTAAATGTTTTCTTGTGTATGAAAAAACAGAATCATTCAAAAGAATAAATACATACCGTCAATGATTTCTTCGATAATTTTTCTTTGAATTCTAAGATATTCTTCTGTTACTGTTGTCGTCAGAATTTTTCGTGTAGGCGTTGGACTTTTGACTTCAGGTTTTATTGTGCAATCGTCACATTTCGTTTCATCTGCTATTTCAAATCGAGTATTTTTTAATATGGGTCGAATAGGTATTGTACTAATCAATACAGAACAAAAACTAATATTCGATGAAAATAGATTAGCAATAATCTTACTCATTTGAAATACTTTCATTCAATGGAATTTTACTATCAAGTGAAGTCGGTATACTATCGAGTAAAATTCTTCCTAGTCGTACTGTTTCTTCATTCACACCTTCCGATGATACTGGTTTATTTGTAAGAAGATCACAACGAATATCATAGGTTGGCAAATGACTATTTGTTGCACGCATCATACCATCATAATATCGACCTAAATTTATCTGTCGTTTTTGTATATGTGAACGATATACAGGCGACGAATCCATCGAATTGTTATTATCAAGATAGATCGTTTTATTAAATGGCTCGTTGAAAGCTGTATTCAAAATATTATTAGTTTTAGATATATCCTTGTCAACAATCATTAGGTCTGATGTTAAAGAATCCTAGATAAAAATAAAAACAAACAAGAATAAAGTGAATGACTTTTCACTAGGGAACATAGAGAAAATGACAATATAACGAAATATGATCTATTCGAGGACATCAATGAATAAATATGATAGAGAACTTTCTATTTGACAACAAAAAAAAAGCAGTGTATTTGCCCTTTCATTCTTTCTTCTTATTATTATTTTCATGTTCTTTCCATCTATTTATATTCAGTATTGATCTGGTTAGGTAGACAACATTTATTACTAATATATTAATGTACATGTTTGTATATAAAGGTACGTAAGCAAGATAGGTTTATGTTAACGTTGATGGCACTAATTGCCAAAGACATACCAAGGTGAAAGAATGTATGTCGACGACGAGTGTACAATCGACATGAACAAAATGATATTAACAAATCAAGAACAAGGTTTAATGGCAGTTAAATATTCTATATTATACTACGAAGACTTTTGTTTTCTCCTCTATTCGATAGAGTTTGCTGATTGTATTAGTTTGACACATAGGCCAGATAAATCAATAGAAATCCTTGAGCGACATACACATGGTGCTCATATGCGCACACGTCAAACAAGACAAAAAGCAACTTGAGGATTTCTAATTGATTACATGCCCGAAAATTACTTACCGCACGCTCGATTTTTCTTAAACGTTTTTTTTTGTCTAAGGTGTGTAATTATACTAGAACTATAAGCATGGTAGAGGTAAATATAAGGAGAATTATGTATTCAAATTTGAATACTTTCGATTTTATTTTCTTTGCTAATTTATTTTATACATACTTGATTACTTGAGTGTTTTGATGAATGAGTTAGAGTATCATCATTCGTTCTTGAGAATGTATATAATCGATTAAGACTACCTCTAGTTATACTTGACGATGTTTGTGGGTTATTTTCGTGATCATCATCATCATCATCATCAACATCGTGATCAGATGTTTCTGGTTTTGTTGCAAATAAAATAAATTCATCTGTACCACTCATATCATTTTCATCTAGTTCACGAAGAGCAGTTTCATCATCAGATAGTTCTCTGACACCCATATTTACATCATCATCATCATCATCATCATCATCATCATCAAGAACAACATCTTCACGGTCATGTTTTTTAAGGTTTAATGCATCGTTCAATATTGACTCTACTAAATTAGTAGCTATACGTTCCAACAACCTATTTGTTTCATTATCGTTGGTATCAATCATTTTTTTGCTTGATATTTTCTGTATTCTATTAATTGACGATCGTTTGTCATTATCTTCGTCGTCAGTTACTTCTTCTAATTCAACGTAACCAAACGGTATTATCTCACTAGAAGCAAAAAGAAAGACAATCGATGATAAATGTTCAAATAGTAAAGAAAACAATTGTTTCGATCGATCCCATTCCAAACATAAGATTACTCATTAGCTTTCCCTCATCTTTTTTTTTTATTCTTAATTACTCCTTTCAGTCTATCTGAAAAGATCAATCGATAAGAATGCATTTGTTGTTTCTCATCATTCAAAAAGATCAACTATTCATTAACGAACCTAATCTGACATATTAGCTAGTCAAATACTTTCGAAAATTGTTTTTTTTTCTTACTTTGTAGACGACATTTTTTCAAAATCATTCGATGGCGTATAATTGTCGTATCGCTAAAAGATAAAGCAATCAATAACACATAGTACTAGTAGATGAATGGCAAAACAACAACAACAACGCCAAGAAAAAATACTTTTTTTCCTCCTTTCATCGTTTTTCTTTTATATGTCTTAGTAAGTAGAGTACGAAGAAGCGAAAAAAAAAGAGAAAGAGAAGAAAAAAAACTGACATTCACATGGATAGGAATTTGTGCTAACCTTATCATTCGCTATCAAACTATTACTCTCGTTATTTCTATTTTCCTTTGTGGCTCTTGCATTTTTGAAGTCGTTAAAATTGATGTCATCAATCAAATATTTCGATTGCTGTTGATTGGACAATCCGGATATGATATTTTCATCAGGAATAAAATTTTGTCTTATCCTATGGGAAGGATTCTGTGTCTCATCGTGAAAAATTTTTGGAACATCATAATGATTATGATTCGATTTTGTTTGTTGACTTCGTGATATTTGTGTAGTGCCACCTAGAACAAAAAGAAAATCAGTTACTTCATCAATCAAATAGTCCTTAAGAGAGAGAGAGAGAGTGGGAGCGAGATTGGCTCCATATCTAGCGTCTTTTTGGGGATTTTTATTGCGCCTTCATGCTATAGGATGCATGAAAGTACTTGCTTATTGCCTTATCATACCGATGAAACCATCTGGTTTTATGGATACCATACGACAATAACTACAAGATACTGTTATCAATTACAAACAAGCATAGGCTTCATTATTTTCCAACTGTTAAACATCTAGTCACATACTATTGCTCTCAATCAACATATCTTTATATATGAAATAGTAACAAATAAGAAAAAGACACGATAAGAAAACAACGTGACGATCAGCTTCTGATGATGGATACTACCTTCGGTTACTAATTTATTAGTAGAATACAAACAAAATGTGACATATAACTGCCAATGGCAAGGCCATTAAGTAGTTAAAATATAAAGCATAACAACTAGATATTCCAGGAAATGTAAGCATTTTGATGAATACATAAATTACAAAATTAATCACATATGTGAGGAGAAGAAGAAAAAACTGAAACCTTGAAAAAATCTTTTCATACGACTAACGCTATTTAATAGAGTAAGACTTAATTTTAATCGCGGAATTTAACAGCATGCAACCTAAATCGTTTTGTTTTTACCTATTTTACTGAATAGAAAATATTGTAGTATTCTCTTGCCACTATCTTAATTGAATATTTTAAACACAGGGCATCCAACTCTTACTTCCTAATTAATTAGAATCTCAATTAAGTATATATCACATAGCAAAAACAAAAAAACAAGAAATTTTTTTCCAATAAAAACTCGCTGTTGCTGTTGCTAATCGACTGTTTATATAAGAAATCGTATATGACTCAATGACTTTCTCAGAATAAAACTTTTGACTATGTTTCTCATCATTGTCATAATGTAACTCTAAATTACCAATAGGATCGTGTTTCGTTTCGGGAATAAATCGTGCTGGTCGATACCAGCGACTTGATTTTGCAACACGTTCAGTGCCCTTTTCATATTTCATATGTCGACGCGAAGATGTATACGAAGACGAAGGTAACAGGGGAGAAAAGTTCAATCCATCCGTTACATGATTTGGATGCCAGGAATGTACAGATGGTGATGGCGACGTCCCGAATGATGAACGACATGAACGATAACTACGTGGACGATGTACATGTACTATTTCTGGTGTACGATGAGACTCTTGATTTAAACGACTCGACGTAATAATTATTGGTTTACTTGCTATTTTAGGTGATTGAGCAATCTCATTATACCACGAAGGTATATTTAATTTTTGAAGTGAACATTGAAAACGTCGTTCATATTCATTCGTCATTGTTGTTACTTTTAAATTGGATACGTGAGATTCGTTATGAGTTGTTTTTGCTGTTTTCTGTTCAAGATTTGTGGCCAATAAAACAGCATCACACTGTTGTGCTAATTCATCGAATATACTTAAATCATGATCAGATTTAGGTATAAATTTCAGATCTATACATAAAATGTAAAACATGACGTTGAGTTTAGAAAAGAGATTAACTCAAAAAACAGAGTGAAGAAATGTAAACGAATATGAGCAATAGTTAATGTATATGTATTTAATAAGGCAAATCACATCTCTTTATTCGTGCATAAAATAAAATGATGGATATTCGATTAGATTACTCGTTTTTTTCCCTTCCCTAATTGAATCGTTGTTATCTACGTACCAAATAGGGTTAGATTATCTTCATCACTATCAAACAATCCATATTTATCATCCGCATGTTCGTCGTCGTCTTCTTCTTCTTCTTCTTCTTGGTTTAGTACCACAAACCAGTCGATCGGATTATCGCTGTTATTACGGTCACTTTGTCTATAATCTAAATCATTCAAAAGATGATATAAGACATAAGGTGCATGTACAAAAGCGTGTGCTCAATAGAGAACACTAGGATTGATGGGATTGAATAAAAGAACGATAAGAAACGAAACATTATCTTATTCATTCTCTTTTATTCCTTCTTTCAAACAAAAAAAAAAAGACAGAAGAGAGAAAATGAGATGAGGAAAAATATTTCCTTTATTTTCTTCTTCAACATACATAAACACACTCAAAATTTTTTACATTTACTGGTAGTCTGATGTGGTACGTAAAGAAAATAAGAGAAGAAATATGAAAGAACGATTGTACACGTATATTTGACCAGTACATCTCGTTAGTTTTTATTCACATGTTGCTATCACACAGTACAATAAATGAATGGCGGTATTGATCACATATACGCATGTAGGCACGCACTCATCTGAATGGAATCCGGTGATTTAAAACAGAAGAGAAAAAAAGTGAGCAAGCGAGAAGAGGAGGGTGTCTATGTCTAAGAGAACAATTGTAACATACTTGTTATGGTGTCCGGTGATTCAGTCATGTTGTTACGTACGCATAAAACTGTTCTTGATTAACAGCCATTGATCTATATACGCGTTCATTCTCGATAGTCAAAAGAATAAAGTGATTTTTTTTCGTCGACGAAGGCTAAATCATCATCATTTGTTACTGAGCAACAGTATCTAATTCGTTATCATCATCATCATCATCATTTACGATGTATCGCCCATCGTTGAGTATGGAAGACTGATTTGCATTTATGTCAGCTATAAGAAAAAATAGAGGAACGGCAATAGTGGCTGGCGGCGCAATTGTTGTTGACATGAAGAAGCCTGCCAGGATCATCCTTCGTAACAATATTATCAGCGTCTATTTATTTATTCACGATGGAGCGTTGAGCGAGAGAGAGAGAGAGAGAGAGAAAGAAAGAGATAGCAACATGAAAAGTTTTATAGAGATTTTTATAGTCAAAAACAAAACAAAACAAACTATGATCGATTAGATTCATTTGGCAGATATCGAGGAGGAAATGAAGACGACATGTCTGCTGATAAGATCATCAATTTCATTGGTTTTATATTCGAGCTCTTCGAGAATTTCTCTTGTGTGTTCTCCACATTTTGGTGCTAATCGATAAATTAACCATTGTGATCGACTCATTGTTATCGGTTGTCCTAAAAGTTCAATTGAACCGCGTCTCGGATGTTCTAGTTGAGCTGTTAACTGTAAATGTTTGACTTGCGGATCAGCAAATGTTTCATTTATACGGTTGATTGGTCCGCATGCAATACTTGCTTGATTCAATTCATTCACCCAGTATTCAGTTGATTTCGTACATAAAATTTTTTCTAGCAGATCATTCAACTGTTCACGATTCATGGAGCGTTTCTCGGGCGTAAGATAATCAGGATTGAATGCTACATCTTGAATATTTAATGCTTTGCATAGATTTTGAAATTCTTTTTGTTCAGACGCAGCTATTGTTATATGTCCATCGATTGTACGAAAAGTACCTGTCGGTATCGTTGTCGGATGATGGTTGCCAGCTTGCAATGGTACTTGATCATCGATAAGATAACGAGCGGCTTGTAGATCTAACATAAAAATTTGTGAAGCAAGTAATGATGTTTGAATCCATTGCCCTTGACCAGATGAATGCCGTTCCAATAGAGCAATTAATATTCCATTGGCAAGTAATAAACCAGTCGATAAATCAGCTATTGGAATACCAGCACGAACGGGCCCTTGACCGGGTAGACCTGTTACAGACATAAGACCACCCATACCTAATTTATTATGACATAATATAGAAACTATTTTCAAATATTAAGTACTCACCTTGCACAATTTGATCATAACCTGGTCGATTTTTATAGGGACCTGTTTCACCAAAACCTGATATAGAAGCATAGATCAATCGAGGATTGATTTGACGTAATGTTTCATAATCAATACCTAGACGATATTTAACATCAGGTCGAAAACTTTCAATTAATACATCAGCTGTATTAACAAGTTGTTTTAATATATGTAAACCATCTTTATTCTTAAGATTAATTGCTATGGAACGTTTATTACGTTGAATATTTTGATAATCAGCTCTATCAGTTTCACCTTCATCATTCGAATTATCTTTTGGTATTTCGATTTTAATCACTTGTGCGCCCCAATCACTCAATTGTCGAACTGCTGTTGGTCCAGCACGAACTCGTGATAAATCAAGAACTTTGTAAGAATTTAGAGGTTGTGATAACATCATTTTAATGAAAATATTTCTTAACTATGAGTATGTTTTTATTCGTTAGAACATATTCGACACGTTTTTTTCCTATTACAATATTATGTTTATCGTAGCACGCGCTTCCTGTTCTTTCTCTCCCGAGGCATCGTATTGCATCACATACGAGGAAAAAATAGTCGTCCCTTGATTTATTTTCCATTTTTTCTTCTTCTTTCTTTCTTTCTGTTCTTAGGCCATGGTTAAACGAATGCTGCTAAATGAAATTGCGTGCCTCTATAATAAAGAGCATTAAAAGCACTTTTCTTTCCCATTACAAAAAGAAAAAAAACTTCTTAGCTATCATTTATATTGTACTTCTGAACATAATTGAATCATACTTGCTAATTGTTTGCTGTAAAATAAGAAGATTATACTAGTCTCTTAAAAGAAGATGTTAAATATATTGTAACTTTGATAACATTATACATTTTATTTTATCACTGTGTAGTTCGTCTAATCTTATTTTCCATTGAATTGATTCCTACCGAGAAATTTAATTTGTAATACTTTTATCTTTTTTTCTTCTTAGTTAGGTTTTTTTAATTGAATTATAAGCGGCATTCTTTCGAAACTAAATCGATTCCCAAACGTTTGCAAATGGGAAAAGAAATCGCTGATTAAAAGAAAAAAAAAGAAGAAAATACTCGGAAATGTTCCATGCAGTAGACAAGCCGTACAATTCATTATTGATTATTTTCTTCGAGAAAATGAGATATTTTACTAAGATAATTAGTGGCTGCACAAGCTGTCGTCGATGGTTTATTTTACTAATAAACTATGTTTATGTTTTTATTAATTGAGGAACTCGTTTACTCTCGTTTATAATACGTAATTCAATGCCTAGAAAAAACTACGTAGCTAGGATATAGAAATATATATTTATGAATAACTAAACTACGATTTTTGATCTTGAATAGAACAAAGATTTTCTATTGGGATCTGAGTTACGCCAACATTAATCAATTATTCATGGAATGAAGCGCGCTTCCAAATGAATGTTTCTTTTCTTACCGTGTTGCAATTTAATGAATCGATACCTGAGAGAATTCTTTTAGAGGATAAACTAAAACTTAGTGTTGATTGCTTAAGAACAAAAAACTTTTTTTTGTAGTTAGTAAAAAGCATACGCTGTCTTCATACCTCTTGGTTGGCGTGTAGAATTGTAAATCATTTAAAAGCTGTCACTTCTTATTCGTGATGCATTTTGAAATTGAACAAATTGAATTGAATTCTTAAAGTTGACAATGCCATGACTACTTATGATGATGAGTCTGTGTCTCATCCTAGAAGTATTTTGGTCCTCTCAGTTTTAATTATTAAGTAAGAAAAGACGGATATACTTTTTCTTTTCCTATCACGCATGGATTTTGTTATTTAGAAATAAATCCTATTCCAAGCTCAAACATCTAATTGGATTTGTCAGAAATATTTTGAAAGACATTTAGATGTTTCACGCTTAAAGTAAGACGTCATTAGGCCTATGAAATAATAATTATTAGGTCATTGAGAATAAATTGTTTTAATTATAAAAAATAGTTCTGTCTTTAATCATCTTATGTTTACGACATATTTACATTCTATGATATTTAAAGAACATTGATATAACAATAAAGTAAACAAATATGAGAATTCTTGACAATGCTCTATGATATAAAAGCCTAATCAAATAGAAATCATAGAAATTTTTAAATATACATGTATATATCTATATATTTATATAAAAGTGAACAAAGCAAAAGTGGTAAATACATTTACAGTCAAACTGAACAAGTAAAAAAGTTGTCATTCGAACAAATCGACTTTGGTATATTTTTCTAGTGTTTTGTTTGTTGATGATAATTTCGTTGATTTCGATGAGGATGATAATGTCGAACAAGGAGACGATGATGATGGCACTGTTGATAGACGTGTTATTGTTGCTGGTGACGAATTCATCGAATGAGTTGATAATACAGTTTTTTGATGAACAAATTTTACACATTTTACTGAACGCATTTTTATAAGACCAATTATAAGTATAATGATTATTAATAGAGCACCAATAAGTAAACCTATTAATATGAATGGTATTGGCAGAATTGATTCATTTATACGACGCGATAACAATGTTTGTACACATCGATTTTCTTGACATGTATAATGTTTCGGGCAATTCCCTATTGAAAGATTATTGTCACATTCAACGAGTTTCGGTAGTTCACAATGATATATATTATTTGAAAATATACGTCGAGTTCCTAATGGGCATTGGCAATAATGATCAATTTCACCCGTGTGAAGTTGTTGTTGAATATGACATAAACGACGACACCGTTCTGGTGTACGAGAACAATTCGATGCAATTTCTGTGTCAACACAAAGATGACCAATTTGTTCGGTTGAAGAATCTCGTAAACGGCATTGACATGTATGCGTTGACGATGAACATTCATATAATTGCGGATGTGAACATTTCTCGTAACATTTCATACCTATTGTTTGTTCAAATTCAATACGTAAATGAAATGTATCTGATATAATAAGTTTTTCATTGGATATTAAACGACAATTTTTCAATGCTATTGTCGATTGTTTAAAATAAGCACCATATAATGAAAATGAATTCGATGAAGAATTGTCTTGAAAATGAAGTGGAACAGTTGTTGTACGCGTTGATTCAGATACTCGAGTAGATAAATCTGACTAGAAAAAAAACAAAAAAACTGCGGGCTTAATAAATTGTTCGTTCAATTCCTAAGAAAATTATTTTCTCGCTAAACTATTTCTAATCAATTTATCCATCATTCATGACACTTGCTCGAAGGGTAAACAACAATGTTCATATCTAACATAATTATGTTTTTTAATAGTTCGCTTCATTGCTAAGAAAATACTCCCGGTCAAATTAGAAATATGCAGGTAAATGTGTTTCATATCTAACACTTACGATCTGCTTATCGGAGCAAAAAGTCAAGTAGAAAAAAATTAACAAATTCTATTTTTATGCACTTATTCTTTCGCACATGGAAGTATTGCATCTAGTCAATTAATTGGCTGTTTTTAAAAGTCATACTTCAATTGAAGAAAAATGTCAATTCTTAATGAGAAAACTCAATTTTGGTCTTACTCGAATATCAATCATTGTAAATTCACAATCGTTTGGTACATAGACTTGTTCACTTTCTTCTGGACATTGAAAAACGAATGGTACAGGTACTAAATAGGTATTTGCAAAACGATAAATGATGCCAATTGATAGCGATTGATTTGAAGGTGAAAATGATTGATTTAGTAATGCATATAATGGTCGTACAGTTAATGACGTTTGATTTTTATTTAATTCAAATATATTTGGATGATTTTTATAAAAATTTTGATCAAATCGACAACCATTTAATATTTTTCCATTCGAACTTTCTAGACCAAATATTAGAATTACATAGGCGACATAGTAGTAGTTGAGTAATCGCATGATTTGATCGTTGCTTTTTTTTCCTCAATAAGCTGAGATTGTTAAATATTTTTCCTACTTGCTATTTTCTTCTATCGTATTCGTCACACAAATACAAACATTCATCGAATGGCCTTGCCGTTGACTGAATAGGTTTGATGTGTTCAATTGTATGTTTACTCTTCTACTTGAATATATACATATATGAGAATAGTATGCCGCTCCTTCAATCCGGATGTTATTTCTATTGAGAATAGTGATGAAGAGAGAATGAACGAAAAAGAAAAAGCGGATCAATACGGCGAGACTAAATGTGAGAACGAATATATTAGCATAGAAAAATGATAGACAATCCAAAAGGTTAGACAACTAAGATTTAACTTAACAAAAAATATATGAAAGATAACGAAAATTTTCTTTTCTATTTTGTTTATTCGAATAATGAGATGTTCATCAATAAAGAACGATAACAAGCCATAGAAGTTTGTTTTTGTTATTATTATCGAATGGTTAAACCAACGTTCAGTCTATTGTTCAGTAAAAAACGGTCGATCGAACGATTGTTGTTATTTATTCGGTGTATACACAAAGGAATAAGAGAAAAATGCTTTACTTAGTGTCAATGAAATAATTCCTTCCATAAATTCACTTCTATATATACATTTGAAGTGGACAGCTACTTGAATATCCTTGAAAATCATTTGATCAAGAGCACTTTAAATGATGGACAAGAAAACAAAAAACGAAAGAATGGTAACCTTATCGGTATTTTATTTTCTTTGAGAAGATTGTTCAGTCAACATCGACTTTCCTGGAAAGATCTAGATGCTTGTGTATATCTGCATTGTACTATTGATATTGGGAAAGTTAGAATAATTATGTTATATTAAGGTCTATGACAGAATTTATTGTCTATGTGACTTAGCTTTACGAAGTCGATATGTATAGACAGGCATTGCTGCTTCATATCATTTTCTTGTTCTTGTTTATTGTATCTAGGACATAGCAATTAACTCTGTCAATCATATAATCAATAGAACCTTAAAAACATGTCACATAAGATTCCTTGATAACCATCTGTAGACATTAGCTAAACATATATAATGAAGAAATAAAAAATCGAAGATAGCATCAATGCCGTAGATATTTCAGGAAAAATATAATAATAAATAAAGACACAGGAAAAAAATATTTGGTACAAATATAAACATGAGAAAAAAAAGATTTCTTTTTTTAAATAACACTTGATGTTGCGAAATGTTCGGATATACGCGCAGCTTGCCTTTCATTTTTATTGGTACGCACAATTCGATCATATGGATTCCATGTTAATGTTCGTACAGTTTTCGATGTACCTCTAGGCGATGCATTCAACGACACTGTAGGGGATAGTTTTGGGCCTAGCATCGTCGTATTAGTATCATCGGTAAATGCTGTTTGAAGTAACTGATTTTGTCGTCGTCTTCGTTCAATATTTGTAAAATAATGTGATGTTTTATAGGCTGCTTGATTTTTTCGACGCGTATCAAGTGATGTCTCTAGATCCATCGTATCTGACACATTTTGCTGAAGTGCAACGAGAAATGTTGGTTCTGTACAACAAGAACACACGTGTTTCAAAAAAAATAAAATTACGGGCCCGAATATGCGATAGAAAAGTCGAAAACATATAGTTTTAAAATCAGATCGAAAACGTGATGATGTTGCCATGTACAACAGAAAGTTAGTTGCATGATTTAATTCACGCATACCTTTTTCTATAACAGTTAAATATGGATGAAATACACCCATACAAACTTGTACATTTTCATATAAATTTCGCGTGAAACGACATTGTGGATAATTGTAAAACAGATATGTTATACACCAGTGAACATAAAATGGACCAAGTAATAGAAGAAATGCAAATGATGCAACAAATAACATAACAGTTGTACCACGTTTTTCAGCGGAACTAAATTAATAGAGAAAAAAAAATCATTTTTCAATTTTTTCCTGTTTTTTATTAACTATCGAAAAATTCACATTCGAAATTTATGTATGCGTATATTTACTTTGTGGCTAAACTTCTCATTGTTCCATCATTCTCTTTAATTATAAAGCGTTTTTTTGCTTTTTTCAATTCAATTATGATCAACAAATTGCTTATGGCTATACCAACAAATGGTATCATCGCGTAAGTGAATACAGTAAAAAATCCACGAAATATTTGATAACGATGTGCATGCAACGTATCAAATGCTTCACAATGTAGTGCACCACTTGTATAGAATACAAAGTCAAATGGGATTGGTACAACAAACATAAGCATAACGAATGCTAGAAACGGTAAACGAAATTTATCAAATATATATCGACAAAATGGATATTTAATAACAATACAACGTTCAATGGCAATTAATAGTAATGTAGTCGATGAGCACTGTCGAAAATATAGGAAAAATATTCCAAACATTTTACAGAATAAAGCTGAAGTTTTAAGATAAGTCATAACAGTTCGAAATAGTAGAGCGAATAGACTCGACGCTAAACTTAATAAATCGAAACACGTTAAAGCTAAGAATAGTGTAAATGAGGTTGATCGTCTCATCGAACCACACATTAGAACAAGAAATACGCATGCATTGAATATAATACCGATGACAACAATACAGTAAGTAAATATTGCTAATGGTTTTAATGATAAATGGCGAAATACATCGTAACGTAAACAGAATACTGTCTGATTGTGGAGAAAATCAGGAGCGTTTAAGAACTCGTTTGAATGCAAAAATTGACGGCGATCGATAAAGTGACTACCACCATCGAATAAAAATGTTCCACTGGATGTATCATTCGATGCATAGACACTATGACCTGATAACGGAGAATATGATCTCGAGTCGCACATTGCTTCATTAGATAATCTACAACATCCAGCGTGCCATTGTGATTTATGCAACGAGAAATTCAAAGATAATACGCCGGTATAATTCGTAAATAGTAAACGATCAAATTTTGTTGTTGACGGTGATTTAGTTGCAAGTGTTAAAGGAAATAGAAATAGTAATAGTAAGATAAATAAAGTTAATCTAGGCAAAAATATTTGCTTAGATTTAATATAGCTCAAATGTCGTTCAACTATATAATTGTTTAAATGATCTGTTGATAAAATGAAATCAATAAAAATTTCAATTTTTTTCAGAAAAATAACCCGATGAATTGATGGATGATGTACTCGAACAATTTTGTCGAGTAAATATTGATGAAACATGGAGATTTTGAATAGTATTATATGGAATGGAAAATTCACATGTGAACGAACATAAATGATAGCAGCTACAACGGAAATGGCTAAGAAATTGCTTGGGACATGATGATCGAGTATTATGGATGTTTTGTTTATTTCCTTTTTGTTGGCGGTAGATTTTTTCAGATTTTGATGATTGATCCGGACTAAATTTTTTACATAAGGACGATAAACCATGATTATGAGAATAAGATAATGATGAAGCAAATGCAAATAAACGTTGATTACTGTGATACCTTGTTGATGGTAAATGTTTTTTTCTGTTGTTTTCAAACATGATGAATGAATAAAAATGACAAGAAGACAATAATAACAGATGTAGCAATACGATGTAGAGGATACGTATTTATGTAGAAGACTTGACTAATCACTAAATAGAAATAATAAAACATGAAATTTTTGTTTTCTTCGTCAAGTGAATAAATAATATTTCCTATTTAGAACAAGATTTAATTATGGAACCTACGTGCAATCATGACAATTACTATTATTCAGAATTTGCATGTCAATAAATAATGATTTTACTTTAAAAATCAAATTGTCTTTTAAATATAAATTCAACTACCGCATGTATTTGAGTGCCGGTAGCTGTCAAACTCTGGTCTATATATTGCGATAAGAATGAGAAATTCTTTGTTTTACCTATCTTCAGTCCTTTGGAGCGGGAGCGAAGAAAAAAATAAAAAATAAGTGAATAATTCTACTAATGTTTACCATTAGTTTTCCACCTATTATTTTCTTTTCTCGCATGCCCACACGTAAGAATTCTTTATGCATATAAATCTAGATATTTTTTTTTTCATAACATGGTTGGATTTTATTTCTTGCATTTTTCTCTATGTCATATATATATATATAAGAGTTGTTAAATAGATCAAGAGAAAATATGATCTATATATTCCTTGGAGAATATTACAAACAACTTCATAGATCCGTATATTTAAAAAATGTTTTTGACTGAAGATTCATAGCAATGTGTCTGCTAACCATGTTTTTCGACACATACGATTAATATCAGCAAACATCAAATAACATCATAGAAGAGAGAAAAAAAGTAATAGATAATTGTCGATATTGGCTTAACCGCGGGATGTCCAAAGGCACAGAACGTACAAAGGCAGCATCGATCGATAATATGAATAAGCAATCGTACATATGTATATTTGCACAGGAGACCAAGCAAAAGAGATAGATATAAATATGAAAAGAAGAGTACATCGGATTAGCATTTCACTTTGCTAAGCCTTCAGGTAGAAGAAAAACTTTTTTTTGGCGCTTATTTTACATTTTATTTTTATGTTTAGCATTATGCGATGACTAATAGAAACTTAGGCCTTGTTATTAGATAAAATATGATCTTTCTTTCTATTTGTTTTACCTCTGAAAAATCATCAAGGATTTTTATTTCTTTTCTTTATATAAATGTCTCAATCAAAAATTATTGAAGTGGGAAATAGCCTAGCAAATATTGATCAATACTAAAATCGTTTTCGTTTATTATTGAACGACACTTAAATAGTAATTATAACGAGCACAATACGATACTATATTTTCATGTTTTACAATCGCCTGTATGACATATATATAAGTAACACTTACTTTTTTTGCTTGGTTAATATGATGTATTGCTATACAAATGGGTTCTAACAAGACGATGATCGATACGTGATTGTTAAAATGATGCTTAGTTTTTTTTCTTGTCTCTCTTTTGTGCCTCCCTTGGTTTGTAGCCGATGTCACAATGAAATATTTATATGATGACAAAAGATTTTCTCAATTTGTTCGATAGTCGATGGAAAGTTTTTTCGTTGTTCTCCAATAAACGAATGATACAATAGTAATAAATAAATAGATAATTTTTAATCAATTTTGTTTGCGTCGTGTCTCTTGTGTGTTAGTTATGAGTGGAGAACAAAAGCAAACTATTTCCGAGTACCAATAATGAAAAAGGAACACTGCTTGTTTAAGTACTCTTTTTTTGGTAATGGCAACAATAGAGCGCAGTAATATTACTAGTAATAGTGCAGGCACTGAAGGCAATTCGTCGGTATAGAAAAAAAAACTGTGACGTCTGCGAGAATAATCAACCGTGCTATACGCAGACTTGTAAAAGAAGAAAGAGATAGAAGGACAGAGAGAGAGAGAGAGACACACACACACAGAAAACAAAATGGAAAGAAGAAAAAGAATCTAATGTTCACTACAACAATTCATGATTGATTGGTGAAACGAAACAACCTGTGACACTCGCGTAGTCAGGTAAATTATATTTAGGCTTAGGAAGTCAAAAAGTGCCAGAAGTGCAATTTCAATTGTAGCATTGGTTTCATTTTTAAGGAAAAAATCAATTATCTGCTATCCTCCTCCCGCATATGTTGCTGTTTTTTTCTTAAAAATTTTACATTACAACAGGAAATTTGATCAATGTCATAGCTACGATTTATTTAGTTATTTGCTGCGAGGGCAGAAACAAAGACTATTAGAATAGAAATTAACTTACGACTGTGACAAAAAGAAAAAAAATGACGACTGATAAAATAATGATATGATAACAATAAAACATGTAAGAGAAAATAGTTTTGTCCGATATGATTATCGTAACGGTACATCTTTCAGATATTCAAGGAATTTTTTTCAATTAACCTTGTCGACTTTGGTTTTCTGATTCCGAATGACATGAAAACTACGAGGCACATATGCATGCAATGTAGCCTTATTCTTCAAATCGGTTATCATTATGATTTTAAAGAGTACATAAAAGAACACATCAAATTACTATCTTACATAATGAACTTCATAAATACAAATAAGATCATAATGACTTTTTCACAATATCATACGTATTTCTCTCTTTAGCACTCACCTATGCAAAACTAATTTTGATTGCGGAGTAGTTTTATTGCCACTTAGCCATTTAACAATTCACGAGAGAATTTGATTTCCGTAAGAGTTGAATTATTGATTGATTACAATACAATAATGTTTTGGGACTGTGCTATCGTATAAAAGAAAAGAAACAATAGATGGCTTACATTTGGAAAATCTTTCTTCTTGAATAGGAATCGTCATCGGGTGGATAACAGACTTGAAGCGTGTATTTACACTGGCAGTTATTGTCGTGTAAATGATAACGAATGAAGAAGAAGGAAAGCCAAGAAAAAAGATTTATCGGATGAAACTACGCGCACAGAGAGTATTCAAGATTAATCGACTACGCTTATCAGTAACCAAAACAGAAAAAGAGATATTCTTCTTTCTTTTCCCGTTTTCTTTATGTGACAATTATCCCTCCTACTTTTTTCTTGCACTGAGCAAAAACAGATATGGGCCTTCCTCGCTAAATGTGTTGACGATTTGTTGCATCTCATAAATTTTGCATTTCGATTTCTGAGAATTTGCAATTTATCAATAGAACAGAGCACATTAAAAAAAATTTCTTTATATTTTGTATATTACAGAAAATAGAGAAAATTTGATTGCAGAGATCGATGAATAAAACAGTTAATTTAAGATGAAGTTTTTGATTGATGAGTGCGCTATCTATCTAAATAAAATTTGTATATATATTAATGTTAATAAATGCTATCAACATAGGAGAAGCTCAACGGAAATCATTGCAAATAAGTCTTTGATTTACTTTATAGAAATTCCGTATATGCATCAAAAGACTGTTTATCGGTTATGAAAAGCAAAACTTTCAAATAAAATGGACTTGTAAATTCTCGATTTTAAAGGCATAAATTATTTATGCGTAATGATAAATAGGCATTGATAAGTAAACAAACATTTCTTATCAATAACTAATAGAGTTCTCTTGATAAGAATAAATAGTGAGAAAAATATTATGATCACATCGTTGAATAATACGACATAATGATGGTATTCATTAAAAAGTGTTTTCTTGTTGGCCCTATTTTGTAAACACGGCTACAATCAACGCAGGTTCTATCAGATCAAAATAACGTATTCGGAACAAACGCTAGAAAATATCAAGTAAAACCAGAAAAAAAAGGGAAAGATCAATGATGGCTGCACACTGAGAACATAAACAAAAAACAAAATAATTGCTAATAATTCAATGCCATTGCCTTTTGCTTTAATAAGTAGCAATTACAATCAATAGATTTTATCAATTGAGAAAGTAACAGTCGGAAAAAATAGAAACTTAATGTCTAATTATCGGTTATGCATTCGTCTACTCATTTAGTCGATTATGAAAGTTTGTCAGTGCTGATTTTCACACGTATTAACAACAAAATTCGTTGTGAATATTGTTTTACTTATTTTTATTAATAGGAAAATTTATAATTTTAGAACGAATTCGAACATGAAATACAGGTTATAAACATTCTGCTGGATGTTTAGTTGATCGATAGCTAATAATTGTTGTTCTATGATTGAATCTACATATCAAGAAAAGGAAAACTTTGTTGTGAAAGAAAGAAGAGAAAAGGTTGTCTCTGTTGTAGATAAGTAGACAGATGAATTTAGTCGAAACCCAAACAGTTGGCACGTGTCTACAGAAAATAACCGATTAATCTTTTATTATGACGCATCTAGGAATACTATTTGTGCTTGGTTTCCGTCTATTTCATGGCAATCTTTTATTGCTATTAAGGAGATATATGAGGATGTATTCTATGAATATTTGCATGCTAAATTATTTATTGACAGACGACTGCTTAAGATAACTTTTCAAGATCTATTCGGTTGGGAATTTCACCGAATAGAATACGATGAAATTAGTAACGGAAACTAGTAAATGATGAGTATAGCATTTCATTATTAAATACACATTGATTAGTACTCATAATTGCCTTATCATATTATCTTATAGCTGATAAAAGCATCGCATAAAACTACGATAATTTATGGAGAGACTTCCAAATTCATGATGAAGAGCTTGTCAACGAATAATTCCTTTGAGACTAGAGTGTGAAACTCACACGTTTTGTTTAATGAAAATGCTACCAGATGTGTAAAACAGAGACCGTCACAGGGCATGATTATAAATGGAACTGAAATATTGAAAAAGGTAAAGACTAAATGAAAGTGTTGTGACCGCTGAAAAGTGAAGTACTCATATTTTATTTATCTATATTCGAGAAAATATAGATATGCGCTTAAAACATAATTAAATATGAGTAGCAAACCGCAATTAAGATTATCACAAAAATCAGTTCCCTGCAAAAATAATGCGCTTATCATGATCTGGCGAATTGAATATGTATATAATTTGAATAAGTGAGAAATCGAGTAAATCTTTCACATTTATTC